ATATATATATATATATATATATATATATATATATATATATATATATATATATATATATATATATAAAGAGTAAATACGCAGCGCCTTACACATAGTGTACAATTGTATAGGGAAATGTCGAGATATCTCTATGCGTTGTGGCATTTGCGTTTGTGCACAGGAAAGCTGTTTTGTGTGAAGGACATAGATGCATCAAAGTCTACAATCCAGTTGTATGATACATCTTTGTTTGGACAGTCTTGGTTCGTTTTGCCCTCCATAGCCAAATGCCAGGGAATCCTCAGTCTTCTGATTATCCTTTTGGCGGCCCGGCGGCTCGTTCAAAGCATTATGATCTTCTACTTCGAGTTGGGTTTCATGGCCAGCATGAACGGCCAAGTCGTCAAGTACCTCACCAAATATGCAGCGCTGAGAAAACTCAACACCAAGTGGTACGCCAGGAACTGCAATCGCCGTGGAATTGTTGCTGCTGCTGTTCATGATGCCGCTGCTGCAGATTCACTTCGTGCGCTGGGTGTGATCGCATTTGGTGCTACTGATTGCAGTGTTTCTCCTGCTGTCCCTGCTGTTTCCGCTGACGCTTGCAATGTAGCAGCCCGTTCAGGTTCTGCGTTTACGTTGCCAGTGTTGCGTGTTTCTTGCTGGGGTCTTTGTCTGTAGGGCTGCCTATCACCTGTGTAAGGACACACTATCTCAAGGTTCATGCGATGGCACGAGCCAAGAAGACGAAGACAGAATGGATGGAGGGGGGGGTCTCCGATGCACAGAGTTGAGGAGGGGAAGGAGCATGATTTCTGTCACTTCCAGGACTTCACGTTTTTCACGGCATCCATCTTTAAGAGTGCCCACCAGAGCCCTTCCGTCTCTTGTCCTCGACAAGCCGTAAGGCTGCACTTATCTCTTTGCAGGCGGTTGCGCTGTGAACATTGGTTATGAGTATACATTTCTTTGGCCATTTGGTTGCTTTTTCCTCTCTCTGCTTCTTCCCTTGTTGAGGCGTGGGTTTCCTTTCGTTCTCTCATTCCTTCATTCATCTACTTATCTGGTTGGTTTCGTTATTTTTTATGTGCTTGATTTGACGGTTTGCTTGCTAGTGGCTATCTGATCCCTTCCGTTTGCTCGTGTTTCGCCATTCCTGCTAGCATTGTCCTACCACACAGCTCAAAGGGCGGTAGTAACAAAAATATCAATAGAGAAATTGTGACCCTTTTAATATTAGGGAAAGTGAAAGGAACGATATTTAAACTAAGAATGCCTACACGAGCAGTATCAGCAGTATCGATGATCTATTCAAAGGAGTACTAACCGCAGCACTAGCGAGAGAAGCATATAGGATGAGACTCAAGGAAACACTACCATAAGCAACAGCAGTTATAAACGTGACACTACCCACAGCAGTTGAAATCACGATAATACGGAGATATTAAGAGGTTTCCAGGGCCATCTTTATATCTCTTAACCTCGCTGCTGTTGTCACTCCTCTATTGCAGGGAATTGCCACCTCCGCCGTGTTCAGCTAAAGCGGGAAAGGCAAACATCAGCAGATGCAAACACATTGGTGGACGGTTTG